ATTCAAATTTTATATTTCCTCCAGAGTTAGTTTCATTAATTTGTCTTCCAAGGTGCTTCTTAGAATGTTGTCAAATTTATTTCAAAAAATATTTTTGAAATATGCTTTCTATATCCTTTTAAATTCTGTAAAATCTATGGTAATGTCTTCTAGGTCTTGATATTTTAATTTTAAAAATGTGTAATTGATATTGTGTAATAGGAAGTAAAGATCTAGGGGGGCAGGGGAGGTGGGGGGAGGGGAAAGGGTGGGAAAAATATGAGAAAGGGAAAAAATGGAAATGGGATCTTTGCAAGTGGGGAAGGGTGGAGGGGATGAGGGGAGGGCAGGGGAAGGGGAAAAAAAATAAGAAACAAGATACTCATGTAATGGTACAAGATCCCAATGATGTATGTAAATGTATTTTATACCTGAAATGTACCAATAAACTTAATGGTGGAAAAAAAAATACCTCAAAGCAAAAAAACACTGCTATTGTTTTTATTGTCTAGTCTTTACTTAAGCACTTAAATGAGGTTTTTTTAAATCACTTTCTTTGGTTCAGAGATAAAGGTTTTAGGCTTTTCCCACCTCAAGTATATTATATTTTCTTTTCTTGATGTACAGTGCTTACATCGGTCTATGACAGTTTGGGACACAAATATGAGTTAATAACATGAGTTTTAAAACTACAGGTAATGTCTGGAGTGGCATAATTTTATAATAATGTAAAAGTTATGTTTTTTGTTATAAATTGATCATATATGTTAACAGTAAATGTTTGAGTGAAACATTTCTAGTTAGAGAGAGTTTATTCTAAATTGGGGGGGGGTGTGCCGGGGATCAAATTCAGCACCTTGCACTTGCGAGGCAGGAGTCGTGCTACTGAGCTACATCCCTGGCTCTTCTAAAAAATTTTTTAAAGATTTAAAAATGTAATGCACAGGGATAATGTTAGTACCTTTGTTTAAAACAAGGCTTAAGATATTGATCTGTTCTTAGTAAAATTTACAACAAAACTTTTGTTTTTTGTTTTGGTTTGGTTTTTTTGAGACACGGTTTTGCTATGTAGTTTGGGTTGGCCTTGAACTCACTATGTAGCTCAGGCTGGCTTCGAACTCAGCACAGAGTTCCTCCTGCCTCAGGATGATCCTCCTGCCTCAGCTTCCCAAGTACTGAGATTATAGGCATGCACCACCACAACCAGCACAACAAAACTTTTTTTAAAAGTAGGTTTTAAATTTTTCAAAATAATTTCTTGTGTTTTCTATTGTCTTGTTAGAATTAAATGTTTAAGAAAATTAAATTTTAGGGAGATTTGCTTAGATATTTGTCTAAAATTTTATTTTACAATTCTGGTTACATAAACTACTATTATGTGATTTTTCTTACTTTTAAAAATGTCCCTGGGAGTGGTGGTACACAGCTGTGGTCCCAACACTCAGGAAGCTGAGGCAGGAAGATCACCAAGAGTTTGAGACCAGCCTGGGCTACATAATGAGTTCAAGGCCAGCCTGAACTATACAGCAAGACCCTGTCTCAAAAAACAAACAAAAAAGTAATGACCCTAATGGGGCAATCGTGACCCTAATGCAATCACAACTGTGGTCGTAATATGCTATAAATGTAACTAAATTGTTTTGCTAAATTGTTGCTTTGTATATTACTTACAGTCATATAGCTGACCAAAGCCATATTCCTTCTGGTCGATGAGAGACAGTCTTGCTCAAAAATGTATGTTTCTACTTGGCAAAACAGAAATTAATTTTTGCACACTGTATTCAAAAAATTTTACAGTTCTGTATGTGTCCCTAAAAAAAAAACTCTAAAGGTGTTATTAAACTGTAATCCTTGGTCTTGGCATTAGTAAATTGTGTGCTTCCTCCAAATGGTAACTCAAGAGGTTTACAAGAGGAGGGGAGGGCTGGGTATTTAGCTCAGTGGTTTCACCGCCTGCTGCACAAGCTCAGGGACCCAAGTTTGATCCCTGGTACCAAAAAATAATAATAATAATTTTAAAAATAAAAATAAAAATAAAAGAGGAGGGGACTCTTGCTGGGTGTGGTGGCACATGTCTGTAATCCCAGGGCTCAGGAAGCTGAGGCAGGAGTACTACCAAGAGTTTGAGGTCAGCCTGGGCTATATCATGAATGCAAGGCAAGCTATTGTACATAGGGAGATCCTGTCTCATGGGGAAAAAAATGAGGAAATTCTTAAATATTTGCTTCATGTAACTTTCTGGCAGAACTAAGCTTGCTTCACAAAAATATTGGCTTTCTTTAATTAACTTGGCCACTATAGTTCTTAGTTCAAGTTTACTGTACAGACTGGATTTGCTTCTCTCTTATTGTCTTGTTTTAAGTTTATATGTTTTGTAACTGTCAAAGTTCTAATGTTTTAGAATACTGACTACAAAATAGGCAGGATTAGACTTCACAGTAGACTCTAGACAAACTCACTGAGGCATATTCTTTGTAAATCTCTGGGGGACTTCCAGGAAAATGGTGGAGAGATGAGCAGCAGAGAAAAAAATCTCTCTGAGATTTGGTGTCCTGGCACAGGAATATAGGAGTGTGAGAAGGAGGAGAAGGAGGGAAGTGGGTCCCCATGACCCAGGAAGGCTCTGAGAATTGAAGTCCACAGGGAGAGTAAAGAGAGAGACTTCAACAAAGAGGAGAGAGGTAGCAAGAAACGTTTTCTCCCAGAGCCCATACTCATGGTGTGGGAATGGGGGGTTTAACCTGCTGATTCACAGTGATTACTGGTGACCCCAGAAGCCTCCACAGAGAACACACCAGTGGAATGGAGCCATGAATACAGTGGACTACAGTGGCTGGTGAGTTATTTGGGCCCAGATGTCACCCAGGAGAGGGCAATTGGCTAGTAGCCATCTTGTAGAGGAGCCAACTGAGCTGAGAACTCAAAACAGCTACAGGCTGACTCTATCTAGTGGCACCTGGTATCTCGGTGAGAGTGCTGAGTTCAAGTCAGCAGGAAGTCAGGGAGCAGAGTTCAAGGCAGCACGGAGCTGAGTTCAAGCTGCCAGGAGGCACACAGACTGTTGCAGGCTCAGCAAATCCAGTTCCAGCCTCATAGCCAGAAACTAGCCTAAACTTCAGAGGAACTAAAGGTACAGGCTGACTGGAATTATCCACTACTCCACCATAAAGCTGGCTTGCTGGGATTAATCCATTTGGATCTGGACCCTGTCTGCCCACATTGTCTACCAGTAACAACAGAGACACTCCTTGAATTGGACTTTTTTTTCCTTTCTTTTTTTCTCTTTTCTGGTTTTTGTTCTTGTTTTATTTTGTTTTTTCTTGATTGTCTGAACACAGTTTCTAGTTTGTTGTTGTTGCTTGTTGTTTTTTATTTCTTCCTTTCTCTTTCCCTCCTGTCTTCTTCTCCACTTTCTCAAAGTTTGTATGGTCTTCCTTTTGTCCTCCAAAGGGACAAATCTCTCCTAATCTCTTCCTCTTCTTCTATTTCTCTATTTTCCCCTCAATCCCTCTTCAGTCTTCCCCCCTAAGGGTAAAATCACCATATTAAGGGCTTTTTTTTTTTGGTACTGGGGATTGAACTTGGTACCTTGCACTTGTGAGGCAGGCAGCAGCACCACTGAGCTAAAATCCCCACCCCAAAGGCTTTTTTTATTGCATACAATTTTCTGGTTTGTTTTAGATTTTGTTTTATAATCACAAATCTAACTCATATGGTCAAAGGTGGCAAATTAATAGTTACCACAGTTTATCATTTTCTATGCTGTGTTTGATGCTATTGCTATTGCTGATTGTACTACTTTAGCCAAGGTAACATAATCGTGCTAAACAGTTGTTCTTCCTGGTGTACCAAGACTGAGATTGCCTAAGGGTCATAAATCTCTGATATTGCTCAGATTTGGCAAGAGGGATTATGCCACTGTTACATCCAGGGTTAATTCTCCCTCCTCCAGGGGACATTCAGTAATGGATGGAGCCATTTTTGGTTGTCACAAATAGAGGGATAGAGAAAGGCTTCTGGGCATCTAGTGGATAAAAACCAAGAATGCTGTTACACATGCTACTGTGCATGGCACAACCTCCCACGTAAAGAATTATCAGGGGCTGGGGATTTAGCTCAGTGGTGCCTATGCCTGCCTCACAAGCACAAGGTCCTGAGCTCCATCCCTGGTACCAAAAAAAAAAAAAGGTCCAAAAGATCAATGAGGTAAGAAACTGTAATACACCCCTCCATGGCCCCAAGTTTTCTGTAGCAAAGGAGCTATTTAGACCACAAGAAGAACTCAAAGCCCCTGAAAACTTCCCTTCTCATGAACCCAGTTTGCTAATGAAGCAGTCCCCTTAGGCACCTCTCAACCCAATTAAAGGATCAGAGAAGAGCTGTTGACAGGTTTAGTGTGGATCGAGTATACACCCTCTTCCAGAAACAGGTCGATGCCATGGGAAACTGGAGACACATAATCCTGTAAGTAAGCCTTCACCCTTCTTCCAGGACCTGCCCCAACCAGCCTTTCCAGGACTGAAATAACACAGGGGCCCCACCTCCATGTCACCTGTGCCCGGGACCTAGGGTGTCAGGTTCCCCAAGCAATTCCTCCTCCACCCAAGGGAAAGCAAACTCCATAGGCACCAAGGACCTGCAGGAGTTGGCCTCCACTTGGTCCTAGTCCCTTCCCCTCAAAGAGCTCTCACCCTTACCCTAGCCCTGGGGAATGGAGCCCTAAATGAAACCAGCTCTGGTTTCAACAATCTGACTTTGACCGGAGTTGGGAAACTGGGATCAGCTTCAAAGACTGGAGCCAAGAACAGACATAGAAGAGGGCAGGATGAAAAACAATAAATGAGTTTGCACTGGAAGAAAAGAGTGAATTCAAATCTAAGGTCCTTTTTCCCTGTGGCTTCCAATGGCCTTGCTCTTTCCCTAATGGTCCTTCATCATGGCTTTAATACCGATCACTGCAGTCTGATTCATGGAAGCATAAGAGAGGGGAACGAGACAGTGACAAAGAGAAATGGGAAGAGACACTGGTGGAGAAGGATCTACCAGGGTGAGAGACAAAGACCCAGAGACATGGGGGGGAGGGAGAGGGAATGAGAGAAACAGAGACAGAGAGAGACAAAAAGGTTCAGCTAAAGAGACAGCAGTGTAGAGAGCTACATACAGAATTTCAGAGACAAACTATAAGAGATAGAGAACTAAGCTATGAAAAAATAGGCCTCCAGAAATGAGAAAATTGCAAGGAGGGAAAAGGTTTGCTCAAGGTCTCATGACCAGTCAGAGGCAGAAACAGCTTTAACCCAGAGAAATAGAAACAAGTGCCCAGAACATCAAAGGGAGTAAGTCCATTCCTCATCACCACACACACACACACACACACACACACACACACACACACACCAGCCAGGCCCAGAGGAAAAGCCTTTGACCACTGACCACAGTGGGGATAGCTGAGGCTGAGATCAGCCTGCAGGCTGGAGGGCTTTGGGCCAACCAAAAAGGCTTCCTGAGGTGTGACCCCACTATCTGGCCCCATCCCAGCTGGCTGTGAGCAGAGGGTTTGCACAAAAGGAATGGTAGAAAGGTGGGAGAAGGCTGCATTCACTGGAAGAACAAAGGAAGGGGGTGGAGTGACAGAGGAGGGGTGTGGAAAGAGACAATTTTTAAGAGCAGCTGCCATCCCCCAAACACACTCAGAGCTCCAGGACATATTTCAGCTGCCCCAAAGTAGGTAAAGGGTGGTGGGCAGGAGCCTTGGGGGTGGGGTAGCTCCCCAGAGAATGTGCTGACTCCATCTCTCTGTCTCTAAAACTATTTGGGAATTTTTTGGAAATCTGCATGCCTCTCTGTCTCTGTGCATCTGTTTCTGTCTCTGTTGCTGGCTCTCTGCTCCCTCTGTCTTGTGTTGATCTGTCTCTTCCTCTCTCCAGCTTGCATACTCCCCCTCACACACACCCTTTTCTTTTTTTTTTAGAGAATTATTTGTTTATAATTTATTTTTCATAGTTTTTACATTTCTAGGAATTTAACCATTTTTTGTAG